CTAAAACATACTGTCTTCCTTTTTAATAGTACAAACTAAGATATACAATACAATTGCATACCAATAAAAGAAATGACACATTTATCAATAGGGCAGCATATTTTTATCATGATGAGGCATAGCAATAGATTAGATCATAAAAGGGACAAATTATTTTCTACTTAATGTTTGCATTCTCAAAGAATCAGCTGTACTATCTTATTGGCAAAATCCTGATAGAGTGTGTGGGAAAGCTAGTGCCAGCTGGGTGGGCTGGCACCTGTTCTGGTCATGGAGGGATCTCTTATTTGGTAAGTTTCCTCAGGACCCTGAAGTATATTCTCTCCAACTTTCATTTACATGTAGTTTTGGTAGATGATGTCTATTATATAAATTAAGTACTGCTTCACATGATTGAATTCACTTAAGTTGACTTTTCATATGTGGTTTATAATTTCTTATTTGTTTGGAATTAAATGATAGTAATAACAATGCAGGTTAATTTGGAAAGACCATCTCTGTGCATACTTTTTAGTTGAACTCATATTTGTAAACAATAAAATAGTACAAAATAAGATCATAGGTTTAAAAACTATACAATCACTAGAAATAAAACAAATTATCATTACTCTATTGAAAAAAATCTTTAATAAAAATTGTGGATTTGATAATAAACTCCCATAGTGGAAATTCTGTGACTCTTGAAGAGGTACCTTAGATACCTTATTTAAAGTATTTTCTTATTTAAAAAATATGAAAAGATTTATTACTTCAGATGCAAATGTTCATTTTTCAAAATGTTTATTAATCAACGTCATGTATTTGGTGGGGGACTGAGTTACAATTCAGCAAGGATAAGTAAAGAGAATTAGGAATCTGGCAGTATTTTTTAAGAGCTGTATGAAATAGGATGGCAACTTGAAAATTGATGTATATGCTGGATTTTCAACAAATAAGGAAAAAACTATCTTTATATGGGAAGTGAGGTTTCTAAATTTAAAACAGTGATTATTTTTCACTTAAAATTTTTTTGCTTCATATTTGTTCCCATTTCAAATAGCTGATGTTTATCTTCACTTATGTTTTCTCTTCCCAAAACATACAGTCTTCTTTTTTAATAGTACCTACTGAGATACATATTACAAATGCATACCAATAAAAGAAATGACACATTTCTCAGTAGGGCACCATTTGTTTATCATGATGAGCTATAGCAATAGATTAGATCATAAAGGGGACAAATTATTTGCTGCTTAAAGTTTTCATTCCCAAAGAATCAGCTGTACTATCTTATTGGCAAAATCCTGATACAGTGCGTGGGAAAGCTAGTGCCAGCTGGGTGGGCTGGCACCTGTCCTGGTCATGGAGGGATCTCTTATTTGGTAAGTTTCCTCATGACCCTGAAGTGTGTTCTCCCGAACTTTGATTTACATCTAATTTTGGGGGAACACATCTATTATATAAATTAATTACTGCTTCAGAGGATTGAATCCACTTCAGTTGACTTTTCATATGTGGTTTATAATTTCTTATTTATCTTGAATGAGATGATACTAATCACAATGCAGGTAAATTTGGAAACCATCTCTGTATCTTTTTTAGTTTAAAGCATATTTGTAAACAATAAAAAAGTACAAGATAAGATCATGAGGTTAAAAACTATACAATCACTATAAATAAAACAAATTATCATTATTGAAATATGCTATAATAAATGGTTGTTTTGATAATAAAATGGCATAATGGAAATTCTATGACTCTTGAAGTGGTACCCTAGGTACGTTATTTTTTAAAGTTTCTTATTTTAAAAGTATGAAAATATTTTTTTACTTCACAAGCAAAAGTTCATTATAAAAAAAGGTTTAATAATCAACATCATGCATTTGGTTTGGGATTGAATTAAAATTCAGCAAGGATAAGTAAAGAGAATTAGAAACCTGGCAGTATTTTTTAAGAGCTGTATGAAATAGGATGGCAACTTGAAAATTGATGTATATCCTGGATTTTCAACAAATAAGAAAAGAACCTATTTTTAAATGGAAAGTGAGGTTTCTGAATTTAAAAGGGTGATTATTTTTCACTTAAATTTTTTTCTTCTTCATATTCGTTCTCATTTCAAATAGTTGATGTTTATCTTCAATTATGTTTTCTCTTCCCAAAACATCCTGTCTTCTTTTTAATAGTACATACTAATATACACAGTACAAATGCATACCAATGAAGGAAATGACACAGTTCTCAATAGGGCAGTATTTGTTTATCATGATGAGCTATAGCTATAGATTAGATCATAAAGGGGGCAAATTATTTGCTACTTAAAGTTTTCATTCCCAAAGAATCAGCTGTACTATCTTATTGGCAAAATCCTGAAACAGTATGTGGGAAAGCTAGTGCCAGCTGGGTGTCCTGGCCTCTGTCCTGGTCATGGAGGCATCTCTTATTTGGTAAGTTTCCTCAGGACCCTGAAGTTTGTTCTCCCCAACTTTGATTTACATGTAATTTTCGGGGAACACGTGTATTATATAAATTAAGTACTGCTTCAGAGGATTGAATGTACTTCAGTTGACTTTCATATGTGGTTTATAATTTCTTATTTGTTTTGAATAAAATTATACTAATCACTATGGCAGGTAAATTTGGAAAGACACCATCTCTGTGTATCTGTTTTAGTTTAAAGCATATTTGTGAACAATAAAAACAGTACAAAATAAGATCATGAGTTTAAAAACTTCACAATCACTTTAAATAAATTATCATTACTCTATGGAAATATGCTATAATAAATATGGCAGATTTGATAATAACCTGGCATAGTGGAAATTCTATGACTCTTGAAGAGGTACCTGAGGTACCTTATTTAAAGAATTTTCTTATTTAAAAAATATGAAAAGATTTTTTTTACTTCAGAAGCCAAAGTTTATTTTGAAAAAGGTTTAATAATCAACGTCGTGCATTTGGTAGGGGACTGAGTTAAAATTCAGCAAGGATAAGTAAAGAGAATCAGGAATCTGGCAGTATTTTTTAAGATCTGTATGAAATAGGATGGCAACTTGAAAATTGATGTATATGCTCTATATGATGTATATGCTGATGTATATGCAGTTCTCAGTTTTGCTTTGTATAAACAACTGGAGCTTTAAGTTCATGTTCTGCTCCAGTCCAGCCATAGTTCTATGTCCAGCACCTGCTGTACAGCTGAGAGGATGCCGGGGACTGGGCTTGTGGTTTGTCCTTCCACCATAGTCCCTTTGTCCTCCACACAGAAAAAGTACCTCTTGGGACTTTGAGCAAGAGTGTTGATGAATAAACAAATATGCCTGTGATCAAGTAAGCATCATGCCCCTTCTGTGCCTGCTGTGTGTGGGGTGAGGCCTACATCGCCTCTGAGTCCACGGATGGTCAGTGGGAGGGGCCGGTTTTTATGGCTTCTCATGCGCTTAGTGGGAATCTGTCCTGTAGTCCCTGGTTCAGTTGGTGGGAAATGAATCAAAATACTGTGTTTTGCTGGTGTTGTATTAATCTGATGGCTTGTTGTCCTGATTCATTTTCTTAGCAAATTGCAGTTATATTATTTCATGGGCCTTCCAGAGGGATTGGCAACTTCTAGCGTGGAAGGGGCTTCTGGAATCAGTTGACCCAGGTTTTAATCTGTCACATCATAATAGCTCTGTGACCTTGGGCAAGCTACTTAACTTTTCTGAATTTCAATTACCATAGTTATAGGTTGGAGTAATATTTCCTGGCTTGCCTAGTTTTTATGAGGATTAAAATAATAAAAAGAATGTAAAATTTCTATTAGCCAAACAAATGTGGTGGTTGAGAATCACTACTTCAGGGACTCAGAGCCCTAGATAATGCAAGTGTGGATGACACACCATTTGTTTAAGAACCCAAATGACACTGGGCCTGCAGTGTCCACGCAGGTGGTTCACAGATGCTCTAGGAGCAGGTAGTGGGCCTGGTCCCTTGGGTGTGGTTGGTGCATGGGATGCACGCCCTGTGTGGACACGTGCCCAGGTATAGACAGATCGCTGGAAGCAGATGGAGGCAGGACCATGCCAGGGGTGCAGGGAGGTTGATGGTGAAGAAACCAATTTGCTTTTAGGAATTTTGCTGTGAACTCTCTGTTCAGGATTTAGGACCTATTACTTAAAGAGTTCTTTTAATCTAGGTTTTTCCTTATAGGATATTTTTTCCCCTTCATCTTTGGATTTTTAAATTTGGTCCTGTTCCTTTATTGTTAGAAAAGCAAGTAAGTATTTACTGAATGAATGAAAAAATTAATTTAGATAAATGCAGGGAAGAGGGAAGAAAAGCAATACAAATTCTTCATCCAGTCCTACAGTGTGATTTAGAAAATTTACAAAGTATTATCTATAAAGGACTTTTATAGACTATTTTCCATTACATTTTGATCATCATTTGGATCTTTTGAAACCAGCATTTAAAAATTCTGAGCTTCGGAGAGCTCCTCAAGAGCCTTTCAGCCCCGGTTCACTGTTCACTGTTCACTGCCTCTAGGCAAGAAAACAGCTTAACCATTCCAAACCTATGGTTTCTCCCCCATTCTTAAAAGCTTTCTACGGCAGTGTATTATATGGTTAAAATAAACAAGAAATATCTATATTATTTCAAAATAAGGGAAAATGTTGCCTGTGGACATTTAACTAAAGAAAAGAAATGACAATGTAAGATTGCATTGAGATTTTAAGTATTGTTTTTGCCGAATGGCAGATATTTTGCTAACCATTTTAGACAGTTGTTTCACACATTTTAGCACATGGTTAATGATCCTGTGACTGAGATAACTGGATTATCACTATTTCTAAAATATGCTAAGTGTATGTAAGTAAACCTTGCTACTAATTTTGTATTAGTTCCACTTACAGCCTAGTATTTTTTTTTTTGACTTGTGTCTGATCACACAAATTGTTGAGGTTCATGCCGTTTTATAATAGTGCTAGTGCTAAGAGGTATTTCTTTTAAGGATTTTTGTTGACTTTTTCATTACATTTCTATAGCCAGATCAAGTCAAATTCATGTTCTCAAGTATGTCCAAGGAAATTAAGAACTGGTGCATGAGAAAGATAGGAAAACAATTCCAAACCCTAGCAGTATCAAAAGCAAGTTTATAATACAGGCAAGTGCATTTATTCCTACGTTTCTGTATCTTTTTAGGGAGCAACCTTTAAACGGGAGTAAGAATATGCTTACTCCCGTTTAGTGCTTATCTAAAGTGAACTCAAATAATTCTTTTCACATCTCTTTCGTTCTTTGTAGCTTGCTGATGACCGTATGGCACTGGTGTCGGGCATCAGCTTAGATCCAGAAGCAGCAATTGGTGTGACAAAACGGTCCCCTCCTAAATGGGTAGATGGAGTGGATGAAGTAAGTTGAATGTTAGTTTCACATTGTCTTATTTTTTTAAGTAATGATGACAACATACTAAGGTATCTGCCATATAGGCTGCCCTAAGGTAGTGGTGAGTTAACTGCCGTCAGGTGTTGATGGTCAGTTCAGATCAAATCCTTGTTCCACTTTTTCTCTCCTTCTCACTACTATACTTGACTAGTAAGAAAAAAATTTTAAAAAGAAAGTTATCTGCCATATAAACTGCTTTGGCTATGCTTAAATATGTGTCCCTAGAAATACTTTAGGTTTATTCATTTTATCACAAGAAAAAGTTGTGTGTATGTTAATAATTTAGGCTTTAATTTTAATATTAGTAGTAACTACCTGAATTATAGGAAGAAAAACCATACAAGGAACAATGGTATTTGATTTCCTGATAACTTGCATTAAAAATTGCTCACACGTTAGCAAACCAAGTTTACTGAAGACCAAACTCTATATTCTGAGTGTCGCTAATTATCTGGAAGGCAGACAGATACCTGCCAGGCATCATTGGAGTTCTGGTGACTTCATTTGTTTAGATACAGTATGATGTTGGCCGGATTAAACAGAAGATGAAAGAATTAGCCAGCCTTCACGACAAGCATTTAAACAGACCCACCCTGGATGACAGCAGTGAGGAGGAGCACGCCATTGAAATAACCACACAGGAGATCACACAGGTGAGGAGATGCAAGTGAGCCTGGGGACGCCAGCCACGCCTTCTCCTGGCAGTCCTAAAAGCTGTAAAGTGTTCTCCTAAATCAGTTTCTTAGAGTTCACTTCCCAACCTAAAGTTTCCACAGGGTTTTCCAGAGGCCCTGAGGTCCTCCAAGTCTCCGCATAGGTGTATGGGATTTTTCAGAGGTATGGGATTTTTTTTTAAGATACTACTGTAGGTTGTTAAATAAAAACCAAATTTAGAGCATTACTAAGTTTAATCATTTGATTTTAAAATGTATAACGTCTGTCATATACTAGTGCTTAAAATTTTTTATGCTAAAATATAGTGCTCATAAATGAAAAGAAACTTAGTGTCCTAGAAAAATTTCTTTTAAAGTGTTAAATTTAACTAATTTTTAAATAACACAGCTGGTGTTTAAACTTTAGTGTTTACATTTTATTTGTTTAAGTCTCCTGAATCCTAATTATCAGAGAAGGGGTGTCATGTTAAAAGCCCTATAGTGTTAGAATGTTTGTCAACCTGGCCTTTAGCATTGTGGCATGATTCTCATTTACTCCCTCTGACTCTAGTGTTCTTATCTGTAAAATGGGAATAATAATAATATCACCCATCTTATAGGATGCTCACAGGGATTAAATGGGAAGGCAATAATGCAGTGGCATATAATAATATAGGTTGAGTGTCCCTAATCTGAAAATCCAAAATCTGAAGCTTTTTGAGCACCAACATGATGATCAAAGGAAATGCTTGTTGGAGCATTTCAGATTTCAGATTTTCAGATTAGTGTTGCTCAACTAGTAGGTATTCTGCAAATATTCCCAAATCCCCAAATTGAAATCTGAAACACTTCCAGGCCCAAGCATTTCAGATAAGGCATACTCAACCTGCGTCGCCCGATGGTGCATGTGGTGCCAGGCACACAGCAGGCACTGCACACCAGGAGTTGAAATCTAGTTAAATTTTTCTGTGTATATAAATTAAGCCTGAGATTGCTTGTATCTGTTCACCTTTCTCTAAGCCAGCCCGTAGGAACAGAGCACTTCACTTGTCACTTGAGCCTTGTGAAGGGTGCAAGCCTTAGCCAAGGGGCTTCTCCCCCAGGCTTTCCTTGAGCCCTGGGCTTGTTTTCTTAGCTCTTCCACAGATGCCAGCGAGCCGTGCAGGCCCTGCCCAGTCGGGCCCGCAGGGCCTGCTCCGATCAGGAGGAGAGGCTGCTTCGGAACGTGGTGGCCTCCCTGGCCCAGGTGCTGCAGGAGCTGTCCACCAGCTTCCGGCACGCGCAGTCGGACTACCTCAAACGTGAGTGCTGCCCGGCTGGGTTAAGGGATTTGAGTGAGAAACAAACTTTGTTTTCTTTGCTTCTTCTTTGCTACTATTTTTCCACATAGCCTTGTACCTTCCTTGTTAGCTTTTCGGCACTTTCACACCTGTCAACCAGTGGCAGCGTCCTCCCATGTGCAGTGAAGGCGCAGCTCCAGGTGCAGGCCCGGGCTGGTGCAGGCTCCGGAATAGTTCACGTCTAAGCACAAAAAGGTTATTTCCTGTCTGGCTAGAAGAATTTGGAAATCAGTCTAGCACATTTTAAAAATATGTTGTTTTCTAAATGTTGGGGTTTGAGGGAGCTGCTCCCAAAGAAATATGTAAAAAAACGTTTTTTACCACTTAAAGCCACATGTTTGCATAACAATGAAGGTATTTGACTATACCTGAGAAACCTTCCTGGGAGTATTTTAAACACTTCCTTTGCTGGCACCCCTCATTTACTCAAGACACCATTTCCCAAATAGTGCAAAGCCAAATTTAAGCTGTGTCCTCACTCTTAGTGCCCGGTAAACTGGGTTTTCCTTATTGCCACTGTAATCAATAAAGTCCTCACATACCCCAAAGAAACCTTAGTTCTCCCTCCCTCTGGTAACAGACACATTTGTATTTTAATTTTATTACTTCTAAAATTTGATTAGAGCCATTTAGAATTCTTATTAGAGATGCTTCTAGAGAGAAATATTGATTTTTTTAAAAACTGTTTTGTAACAGCAGTTAGATTAAATATTTCTGCTTTACTTAGAGATTCTCAGATGGTTATGCCATTTTTGCCTTGGCATCATGTGAATTGTACACATTTACAGTGTGACTTTGTCTTGAATAATCCCAAATGCTTGCATATTAATATGTTTATAATCCTGTACTCTCCTCCCACCCCCACTGGAGATAGGCTTCTTTAAATCTGCTGAGAATATCCCCATCTTGACTGTTGAGTTTACTCTAGATTTCCCGTTTTTAATCGTAGAACAATAACTAGGATGGTTTACATATTTAAGTAAAGTGAATTCCTATCTGTGATAGGCATGAAGAATCGAGAGGAAAGATCCCAGCATTTTTTTGATACATCAGTACCACTAATGGATGATGGAGACGATAATACTCTTTACGATCGGGTACGTGCAGGGGCTGCAGAGTTGACTGCTGTACGTTTGTGCTCCATTCTGTTTCCTTTTCTTCCTAGACCTCTAACTTCTGTGCAATGCAAATGGATCAGTGCTGCTAGCTTGTATATCCATCAAGTAGTTTTTGCAGCAGAATAGCCATACTGCTTCTTCCTTTCCAAACACCACAAGGAAACCTTGTGATCTGCTTTCCAGAGCCTTCAGGAAAGCTGTCTGCACCCCACTTTCCTGGGAAGAACCCAGAGGGGCTTAGGGTCATCCCTGGAGGTTTTTGCTTCTCTGTCTTTGCAGAGCTGCGGGCACAGACTTCTCTCTGCATCCCCCACTTTGGCCACAGTGCCTTAGATCCTACTGATTTGGGGGATTTGGATCTTTCGTGTTAGGGAAAAATAAGTGCTAATTTATGGTTTATGTGCTTTAAAGAAATATTTTCAGAATTCATTTTCTTCAAATTATATCTAAACTGATATACCGTAGCTTTCCTGAGAGGAAACACAGGTCTAACCTGCAGGTTGTGCACCGTTGTTTGCTAGGGTTTCACAGACGACCAGTCAGTGCTTGTGGAGCAGAGCACACTGATGGTGGAGGAGAGGGAGCGAGAGGTCCGCCAGATCGTGCAGTCCATTTCTGACTTGAATGAAATATTTAGGGACTTAGGAGCGATGATTGTAGAACAGGTATGTGAGCTTCCTCATCAATGGGTTTTCCTACTGTAATATCTGGTCCTTTTCCAAATTCTTTGATCCTGTACACCTTTCAGGAAAAAAAATTAAGACTGTTCCTCCAATGTGTGTGTGTGACTGTGTGCACACTTTTGTGTGTATAAATAAAAATATATGCAGGCTGTGTCCCTAATCTGAAAATCTGAAATCCTCCGAAATCTGAAATTTTTTGAGTGCTGACATGATGCCACAAGTGGAAAATTCCACACCTAATCCCATGTGGCAGGTTGTAGTCAAAACTTTGTTTTATACACAAAATTATTTAAAATATTGGATAAAATTACCCTCAGGCTATGTATACAAAGTTTATATGAAACATAAATGACTTTCATGTTTAAACTTTAGTCCCATCCCCAAAATATCTAATTATGTATATGTAAATATTCCAAAAGCTAGAAAAATCTGAAACACTTCTGTTCTCAAGCATTTCAGACAAGGGATACTCAACCAGTATTTTTATGTATTTACCAATTATATACTGTACTACATATAGCATATATAGGCATTGTCTTTCCCTATAAAAATATTAATAAACCTTTTTTTTTTAGATAAAAAATAAGAAGTTCTAATATTCTCTGCCCAGGGCCCTGGGCATTCATTTGGGCACCCTACGTTGGAGGCCTGGTTGATTGTGACCAAGTTCAGCAGTGTTCTGGCAATATATAAGATTTCCCTTCTAATTTTGGCAGGTTATCTTGTAATGGCGATTGGAACCAGTAGCTTTCAAGTAGAATTAAATTGTTGTTCACCGTTAAAATCTGATTAGGGCATTTTATTATCTTGCCAGCAGGGATTTGGGTCCCAATCCCTTGAAACCAACTGCAGAATGGAGTGTTCAGGCCATGGAGATCCAGTTACATTAATTACTCCAGCCGTTCCCCATGAACTGCTATCTCTTCTAATCTAGCATGTTTCCAATAAAAGCCCTGTTCTTCCTTATAGCCTAGTGTTCCTTTCTTCCTATTTGAACTAAGAGATTAAACAATTAAAAATCCTCCCGAGGCCAAATTTTTAATTTTAGATGGTGGATTGGTGTTTAGTGTTCTCTGCTCTAACCCATGGAGACCTGTGTTCACGTTTACAGACATGATAGTCCATTTGCAGGTCTGATCATAACTGGGGTGAGCTTAGCTGCCATTCTCTGCTTACTTGAATCCAAGTAGGAGCATCGAATGGGCACAGAGGCTAGCCCTTTGTCATTCAGAGCTATTTCCACTGAACCGTATATTTTTTGAAGCCCCAGTAAGTCTGAATATAGCATATCCTATAGGGGCTAAATCCAAAAAAGAAATCTCAATTCGTCAGTATTTCTTTCTCATGAGCTAGACTTTATTGCAACTAACCACTCTGCCATTGAGTGCCTGATATTGCTTGAGGAGGGACGCCAGGGGCTCAGTGCGCACCTTTATGACACAGTTGAGTAAAACTGATAATTCCGTGGATGATGATGTCTGCAATTTGCATATTTCATTTTTGAAGTTCAGTTTTCCCAGTTGCGGTTGTTGATTGTCTATAACTGTCATTTATTACCCAGGGTACAGTCCTTGATAGGATTGACTATAATGTTGAACAGTCCTGTATCAAAACCGAAGATGGCTTGAAACAGCTTCACAAGGTAATCATATATCTTTCCATAGTTGAGAATTTTAGGAACTATTGTCAAATATCAAGAATTCATAAGATAGTTCTCCTACATCATAACTGTCTTCGGCATCCTTGTTTATACTCTCAATATAGTAGTGTAAAAATGTATGTCATTTTATTTAAAGCTGGCTGGGTGGGCTGTTGCGATTTTACTGCAGTTAGTGATTCTAAGTGTACCTCACACTTAGATCTGAATTTCTGAGAACTCCCATTTGTAACAGTAAATTCTAAAGGGATTGGGGTTTTCTTCCTTTTAGAAAACATTTCATCGTTTCTGAGTCGTCTTGTTTTAGGAAATCAATTGAATGGGCATTTGCTAAAATATATGTTTAAAAATCTGTCTGCTTGTTGCTGCTGACTCAGGCGTCTCTTGTTGTGACACATTTCTGATGAATTGCTAGCAGAGAATCATTCTGGAGAAGATAAAAATCTAATTTTCTCTTTAATTACCACACCATATCTATGTATTACCTTGAGAGAAGAGAAATTGGTTGAAGTGAGAGTAGATGCTCTCTTATTCTTTGCCAACAAGGTGGCTATTTCAGGGATGTTTTCATGATATTTGTTAATTTCTTTTTAAAAAATAGTTGAGAAGCATCTTAGAAATCTTATAATCAGTTATGAGAAACATATGCAGGAACTGCTGAGTGGCTCTCATGTGTAACTAACTGGGTACATATTTTCTTTAAAATGAATATAATAATGCTTCACAAATAAAATAAATTATGTCTATTTCCTTGTATCTTTGGGACCCAGTGGGGTTTCTAACCATATAATGAGCATTTTTCCAATTCACTAATGTTCTACTCTGCTATTTTTCTGAAACCAGTCACTTCCTATAGGAGAGATAGCTTCATCTAATGGTAGTATCAGGTTCACAAAAAGTCAGACCTTGCACAAGTCTGACCAGAAACCCTTAACTGTCTTTTCAGTGGGCTTGTTGCCACGTGCCTGGTGGGAATGAGACTCCATCATGACAAGGAAGAGAAGTCTCACCCTGTGCCTGAACAGGGTTTTTAAGCATTTAGATTAACTTGTTTGCGAAGCTCTGTATATTAAAGTGAAAACTAACTTTAGTTTCTCACTCTATAATGCCCCGGTTTTGATATGCTGCTGAATTATGCATTGGTTTTGAAGTTTCCTAAATAAAAACTAGTGAAACATGTTTTGTAATATAACACAGATAAAGGGAAAAGCTTTCTCTGCAGGAGTGAACAAATCTAGTGGGAACTAAAAATTTTGTTTTAGATTCTACTTTATAAATCATTTTGAGAGGTTTCAAAGTATATTATTTAGTATTGGCCTCCCTAGTGTTCCGAGTTACTTATTAGAAAAGTAAGCATGCACCATCTTCTCTCTCAAGTCCCATTGCTGTTGGTAGCACAGCTGGCCGTCTCCTTGGCAGCAGGCTCCTCTTCTAAGGGCAACTGAGCCTTGGGAGTTGCTCACGCTGACCAGACTCTCAGGATGGCCTTACCTGTCCTGATGCTTCCTCCTGGTTGATGGGGGGCTCCTCCAGGTGGGCGGGTAGACCCAAACAGAACACAGGAAACAAACCCACCAGTCAGAACGTTGGGGGTCATGAAGCTAGAACAGGAGAGATTGGTTATTCTTGCCAGGTCTTGCCGTTCAGCTGTCTACAATAGCTGCATCCACAGCAGGGCAGGGTGTGCTGTCCCCAGCTCTCCTTTCTCAGTGTTCTGTGTCCGTCACCAGCAATGTGGGAGCACTTGGGCACAGGTGTTATGGAATTCCTGGTGCTCCCACCGAGCTTCCAGGGTGCAGGGTTTGGGTGTGAGGACTTGTCCCCAGGTTGAGCTTTGGAAGCTCCTCCGTTGTGTCATTATTAATGCTGGAGGGACTTGCCACAGTTGGATTCTTTCTACATACCACACGGATAGGGCACATGTACCTGCTTTTATTTGAAAGATGAGTTTTTTTTCTTGTTTCCAAACGTAGGGGAGGTAGATAATGCCATCCGCTCCATACCTGCTGTAATGGACAGTTTCATTTCATAGTGAAAGAGACTGTGTGCGTTCAAGGAATGGTGCCCAGCAGTAGATGGCTGTCCTTGCAAGGGTGGGTCACGACAGCCTGTGGGAGTAGAAGAAGTAGGGAGACATAGTTCCCCCTTGATCCAGAAGCATAATCTTTGACTTCTCTGTCAGCCTTTGTTTTAATGGTAGATTTCCAACAAGTTCATTCCTAACTCCAGGGTAAACAGGCCGCTGCAGAATCCTGGAACTCTTCTACTCACGGTGATTGAGTTCTCTTGAATTGATGGAGGGATTATAATTGCGTAGCTTGTAGCAGAGATGTCAGTTACTGTGCAGATAGGTCTGGAAGCCTCAAACTGGAAATAAGTGAGACTTGATTTGGTATTTTTGGGAAAATGACTGCCTTTTTTCCTTTCTTTGTAGGCAGAACAGTATCAAAAGAAGAATCGGAAGATGCTTGTGATTTTAATATTATTTGTCATCATCATTGTTCTCATTGTTATCCTCGTCGGTGTGAAGTCTCGCTAAGTGGCATTAGGTTCTTGTGTGTGCCGCACGTATGGGTGTCCCAGAGGTGAGAGGTTCAGCCTGCACCCCGCCAGCTGCCTGCTGACTGTAGCCACGAGGGACCCTCAGGCATCCGCGCGGAGGACCTTTCCATGGACCCGTCTTCACAGTCCTGCTCAAGCAAGGGGAATGGGCTTTAATTTTTCCTTCGTTGTTGAGAATGTAAGGACCTTTGGTACTGCTACAGAATAGAGATTGAGTTCTATGATCAGCTTTAATATATATTTTTTTTAGAAAGAGAAAATGAATTGAAAGTTTACAGGCACTGTAGAAGCTGTTTGGTATTATATGTCTATATGCTATTTTTTTAGCAGTCATGTCTGAGCAGCATGTTAAAATGATTTTTGGAAAAATTTTTTTAAAACCATCTGGTTTTTAAGAAATTTGGTACCAAAAATTTATGAGTAGAGGCAAAAATGCCTCTTCATCTTTCTCTGTGTATTTTCCAGTTGAAAACAAACTAAGAAGTCCTTTAAGAATTTATAATCCGTTCCCCATTAACTTAATTTAGCTTTTCCATCACTGTTAATGATCAGAGTAACAAAGTGTGAAAAATAAGAAACCATCATTGATGTTAATTAACACATTTAGATGGGCCAGTTAAAACAGCTTCATAAGTTTAAATTAATTGTAAGTGGAATATTCCTCATTTAAAATTTTTGCACTGCATTTTCTACTGTAAACCAAAAGGGTTTACTAAGCAAAACCACCTAAATTTAAAAGTTGGTGATTTGAATGAACCTCACATTAAAGGAAGCTTGACAATGTCATGAAAGTCACCAGATTCAGCCAGTGTGCCCCTGGGTGTCCCCAGCCATCCTACTCAGCCCATTACTTATATGCTAACTACATAATGACCTGTTCAAACCAGACTCCATTTAATGAACTGTGAATTTACACAGAGGCCGTTTTAAATGGGTCACCCCATTTAGGATTAGTGGATCTCAAATTATTAACCAAACATCACTCCATTTCAAAGTAAAATATTCTGCCATTGACTTGATTTATTGGCTCTTCCATTGCTACTTAGCAATGCCCAGAAAGCAATGCCCAGAAAGTAGCCATATTCCCGAGGGTTGTGGAAATCTTGACTAGGAAATACCATGTTTGTGTGAGTGCGGATCAGCTCGCCAAAGTAGGACTTTTGTCATTTTACCTGCCTATTATCAAAATGGTGCTTGAATATATTCCTGGAACTGTAAAGTAATGTGGAAAGTGATAACTTTAAAAACTGAAGTTGTTTGTGTTTTATTGGCCTTGTTTTGACACCAGTATAGTTTGAATGGTCTTTGTGTAATTTTTGATAGATTTTCCATTGTTTTTGTTTCTCTTAAAAAGTTTAAGAAGAGCATGACCTCATTAAATGTGTTACGTTTTATAGTTGGACCAGTCACATAAAATGTTTCTCTAGAATTGACTTTGAAGTTGTTTCTGGAAATTTAAACTCAAGTCCAGAGATTCAAGTTGTCCAAACAGATCATGGGCTTAACACTCAAACCCCTGCCCCAGCCTTCCCTTCCCAAGTTGATGCCTCCAGGCAGCCACTGGTTTTCTTCTTACCGATGTGGCTGTAGAATGACAATGACCTAAAGGTGTCAATCCAGGAAATAGCGTGGTATTCCCTGACAAACATCTATTAGGAAAGAAGGTCAGAGAATAAGAATCCGGTGACTCCTCAGTCACTTCTGAAACGTGGGGCTTCGATCCTGAGGTCACTGTGGGCATTCTTTAGTCTCAGCAGGCTTTCACCATGGGTAGCTAGGCCTGCTGCTTGGGAATGGGGCTGTACACCTTGGGGGAATTGCCTCAGAAACAGTCTGTAGGGGTATTACTGGATTCTTATTAAAGCTTTTCAAAGTGCTGAGTCTTACCCTTGAAGGAAAGTGACCCTTTAAGAAAGGATCGCCATTTATTTATATTTATTTTCATTGAATAGGGTGATTAGAGTTGGTTTTTGTCTCCCCCACCCCATTTGGTTAGAATGATGGATCTGATTAGAAACTATCTTAAGGATCTCATGTTGGGATGGGTGAACTGTTTCATTCTGACTGAAACCAGTGAGGTCCCAGCTTACGCTGTCTGCTGCCATGACTGGTATTCCAGGGTGGAAACAAACAGACACAGCCTAGAGCTGGCCCCAGAGCCTTTGTACTTACTTGTTGGGGTCCTCAAACCACTGTATTTTTCTTTTGAGCCTGTACTTGGGGAAAGATCAGTAGCATTTGAGGAGGTAAGAAAAATAATCATGTCCTGGTACCTCAGGGTTTCTTTTCCTCTGAACAAGGTGGACCCCTTCCCCTGCTGACAGCCATTGTCCATGGGCGTATTGTGCTCTTCTGGTCCCTGTTGGGCTGTGGAGGTCACGATTGCCCAGTCCAGTTTCTCCCTGGCCCAGGACAGGTGCACGCTGGGGAAGAGGCCCATCTGGGAAGGGTCCTTCTGGACATATGCCCCCTTTAAAGTGTCCTGGGGTGGCTCTGCCTGAGCGGAGCTGGGTGGCGAAACAGAAACGTGTACCCTCTGTTCCCCAAAGCTCCTGATCTTTCCTGAGATTGTAACTGAAAATTGCTGTCCTTGTTTGTTCATTTTGGGGGTTGGTGGTGCTGGCTGGGCCATGCCGTGTGGAGCAGTGTGTGTCTCTAATTTAACAGATTTACCGCTTTCTCTGCTAATTGAGAGAGCATTATTTATTTGTTTTGACACAAGTGCTTTCAGTGTTTTATCCTAGCTAATGGCTTCTTAAAGGTAATAAAACCCCTTCTAACCTAATTGGTCAGATTAAGACTTTTTTTCTTGTATGATTAAATAAAGCAATTAGTGAAGCGCTTCTATCTAAAATGACTTTTTTTTGTCCATTTTTAAAACTAATTTACTGTTACTGGAAACTTTTTGTACAATAAAGCAATCATACAGATTAAAGAACATCCTGCAATCCTAGTATTAATTTTAACTTCGGATGCATTGTGTTAGGGGAGGGCCCAGCCAATTTTGTGGTCTTTTGGGCCAATGAGTGCTTGTTTTGTGACTGAGGGTGCCTCTGTCTAAATGTTGATCTGTCTAGTGGACACTTTCACAGGGACCTGTCTATTTGCTATCCAGTATTCAAAAAGGGAAACTGCCTAAAAGGCAAATAATTTTTTTTTTATGAAAACATACCAAGAAACATTTGAAAATCTTGACATAAAGCTGCTGGGTGCTTTGTAGAGAAGCGTTAATAATTCTTATACACAGGCTCCAGGAGATTTGACTTTCTGAATGACATTCAGGGTTTCCTGTCCTATTACACCAAAAACTTCAGGGATAGCGTTTGCCAGTTGAACTCAAAGCCAACACTGCATTTCCCTTCAAATGTGTGTGTGTGTGTGTGGGGGGGGGTCCTCCTCAAAGGCTGGGCCAGCCCTTTGTCACGAAGCTTGGCTTTCACGTATGTACACCTGGTGGCAGATACGGTCATCGAGGCATGATGGGGGTATATATTGTATTTGGCTAAACCACAGAGGTGATGCATACAGAAATAGGAGTTGTTCTGGGTAGTCCCTTTGCACGCCAGGCTTGTAGTCCTGAGTTGCTATCGTCGCTCGTGGCAGTTCTCAGAGCCTGTTGACAAACCACGCAAAAGCAGCAGCCTCCTCCTCTTGTGCTCTTGCCTTGTTTTTGGATTCAAAATTGCATCTCCCCAACTTGCACATCAGCTATTGGCTCTATCCAAGAATCAAATCTACCCTCAAAGGATAGATGTTTGCATAGGGCTCATGAACACTCTGAGCAGTGGTAATATACTGAAGGAGTCCCTCGTCCTGAGGGGGACTGCCTGCACAAGGGTGCAACACACGTGCCAACTGTACAGTATGTGCAGCTCTTGATTGGTGACCTCTTGGGTTATGTTCCCAACTGAGTCCTTGGTGGCCCAGTCATGAAATGGCGCCATGAGAGTGTGCGGATCCAGTGGGAGACGGCGCTGCTGAGTGAAGAGCCTCGAAGACTCAGACCCTGGCCTGGAGGGGTGACTTGCCTGGAGACCTGGAAGTGGTGGACCTTTTCGTGTCCCTTTGAATGCTTACCTTGGCTGTAGGAAAACAGGCTGGATATACTAATTTGCTCTGCTAATTTTAGTGAACATCCTTTAAGTCTGATCATAACCAAAAATTTGAGCAATCTAGAATTCTTCCTGGCCTGTCTGCCATAGCTGTGTACCACAGCGAGACAGCTCACCTAGCCCAGCACAGCTTGTATCTGAATTTAATAGGGCAGCATGTAGAATAACATGTTATTCTACATGCTGCCTTAATTTTGGTCATTAGGATCCCTTACTTTAGTCAAACGTGGGAACCATATGGAGAGAACTTTTCACAGAAGGGGATGTTCATTGCTTGGGTGTGGGGAGGACAGGGCAACACCAAGGATTCCTGCTTCTCAGTGGTTCTAATTCACTGAGTAGTTATAGTAACTTTCCATCTCTTCTGAGATTTAGGTGGGCAGACTTGGCTAACAGATCTGATTGTTAGCTGTATTCAGAATTTAGAACGGTGCCTGCATATAAATGTGTGCCTAAAATTGTACATCTCTGGCCACATTAGCCCTTAAAAACTAATGTCCTTTCCACATTTTTTGACCACGCAGATGCCACCTCTAACCTTGTTGCCTGATATTTTTGTTTAATTCCATTTTGAAACAGAGGGGAAACAACCTCCTCTAAAAGGGCAGGTATTAGAAGGAACTAATGGGGGCCCAGGTGGCATGCGGAGATTTTCAGCTCGTATGAAAGTGTTTTCGATTTAGGACTCAAGGGTTAGATGGTGGGCGTCAGCTGTGGGCATCTTGTCCCCAACTCCACACCACCCTGGGTCAGACGTCTGGGTTTACACAAAGGCACATTCCATAGAGTCAAATGGCAGAGACTTGTGCACAATTATCTGGTCAATTGAGGCAAAAGAAAATAATCATTTGTCCAATTGTCCAAATTAGCTCTCCGGACCGTCCTGAATGCGCCTGACAATTGTGCGGTCCTCCACCTCGGCGCCGCAATCTGGCTAAAGCAGACCATTCCGGGGAGGCTCCCCTTCAACGCCACGCACGTTTACATCGGGCTCGCTTAAAACAGACCACTGGGCTTAGCGTTTTCTGTCTGTCAACTATAACGTTTGTAATTGCTTTTAGCTAATCATCCAAATTCTGCCATTAGTGATCGCCACCGCGCTCGTCTTGTAGATGTTGGGACCGAGGCAGATGACTCTGGTTTGCATCATTTGGCCTCTTTTCCTCAGAGGAAGCGCGGAGGGGATCAAATGTTGTTGCTTCAGCTCGGTGTTCTGACCCAGGACACCGGAATAGACCTCCATTGTCATCCTCGAGAAGCCGCCGGGGGGCTCGCCCAGGTCACCCAGCCCCGGCACCCTCGGCCTTCTGGTTTCCAGACCAGCTCTGCTTCTGCCTACGCCATCTTAATTGTTCATTTCTTTCCATAAAATTAAATGACCTTCCTCAAGAAAGATTTAATGGTCAAGATGTGATTTGGTAAAAAGCTTCCTTGAGGATTTTTTTTTTCTTATACCAAGATGAGACCGGCTGAGGCTACGAGAGACTGCAAACAGCGGCATGTCATTATCTCCAGCTCAGGTTCTCGCGTAATTGGTGTGAAGAGACTGCGCTGATGAATCTGCCCGCTCGCACGGAGAAGAATGACTCCTGCGTGGCGCGGCCCGGGGCGCGCACACGTGTGTTTGTGTCTGTTTAGGCAAGGTGTGTGTGTACAGAAAACACTTCCCGAGATGGATAATGCCATTTTAACGTTGTAAATAATAAAAAATAGTCTTGAGCAGAACCGGTTTTACAATCGCCCGAGAATGCAGCACTTCATTTCAACAGTATGCAATGGCTAGAAATTGATTTTTTTTTAAATCCAATTAAGCCTCAAGGTTGGTTATCCATTTAAAAGGTCGGATGAGTTAAGCAATGACAGTACCTTCAGTTCATGCTAATAATTAGATTTACACAGAACTTGGGCACTTACAGCGTGCCTCACGGAGGCATACATTTTGTGTCTGTGCACAGCAGTGAGCTGCCAAAGCCCCCGGCAATGTGCGGCTGCACAGCAGAGCCCGGGCCAACCCCGGCTTGGGGAGCCCTACGCTGGCTGCCAGCCCTGTCACAGTCCCCCGGCCCCCACAGAGCGGTGGTCTGAACAGACAGACACCTGTGTCTCGCTGTACCGACCAGCCCCACTTTTCTGTGGCCCCCAGAGTATTGGGAAATGGAAAGTAGCCTCTCATTTAAAGGGGGGAAAATGTATACACTATTTGGTTTCATGTGCTGCCAAGTTTATAATGTAACAAATAAATCCTGTTTTAAAAATAGTACTTTATAGTGTGCATTTACTATGTATTCCTAACATGTTAAGAAAAAGTCTTCAAAATGTCTTTTTATGGTTCTCATAGGTAATGTTTAAGTATTACTGAATTTATGAAGATGTTAGGAAAACCACGAAACTGATTGGAATGCTTTTTACTCCGTTTGGGTTATAATGTCACTCAGGTTTTGTAAATCATTGAGAACGGATAAGTGATCTTATTTCAAATCTAGCATTTTAACCTGCTTTGTAATATAAGTAAGGTTGGTGCATTTCAGTACTTTCCATCCATTCCTATGAACCAACCCAAAATATGGAACCTTCCAGATTTAGCAAGAAAAAACTATTGAATTTCCTTCTCATTGCCCTTAAAAAAAACCTACCAATTGCTGGTTAGTTTTTCCTTCCCTCGCCCCTTCCTCAAGCTGCTCAGCTGCCAAAGTCCTCAGCAACAGATTTATGATTCTTTTTTTTACTTTTTCAAAGATCGACATTCAGATACTACAGATAGACATGTAATAAACACAAGGGTGTTTCTGGAGAAAGATGTGACTCAGGTTTTTGAAGATTGAATCATTTTCAATGTACTAGAGAAACATACTATTTAAAAGGATCCTGTAAGTGAAGGTTTTCCTAAAGAAAAGATTTCTTGATCAAAATAAACATTTACCCCCTAATTTTGCTTTTCTATAAGTCTCCATTTTCCTGTGTTGAGTTTGCATAAAGGAATGTGGAACCACATTTGGTCTGTTAATTGTTTCCCTTTTCCTTCTTCCCGCAGCCTCCCAGCCCCAAGGCTTCAGGTCTCCAACATGCCCTTGAAAACTTTTGCAACTACAAAAATAATTTTGCTGGTGTTCAGAGGTAAATAGGAATTTAGTTCCAGAGACATGAAGGTTATTGCTGTCTTACACTGTGCCCTTCCTGGGAGAATAATTTAGGCTGCTAGAACAGCGAGGGGCCTCAGAGAGCAACTAGTTCAGCCCCCTCATTTTATCGAGAAGTCCTAAAAACTGATGTTAGAAGGAACGCTTTTTGTTGTTAATAAATGGTTCTGCTGGCACATTTTTATTAACTCAGTCTCTCATCCCACTGATACCAGAAAGTAAAAACACAGGGTTTGCAGAAGAGGTTACAAAATGTACTTTTCAAGCAAAGTGCGAAAAATTACATATAGTATGCTACCTTTTGTGTGAGGTCCATGAATATATATAATCTTATTTCTTTCAAAAAGAAACAGGAAAGATAAACCAAAAGCAAATAAAAAGGGTTGTGTATGGGGGTAAAAATGTTATCTACAAGGGTTGGTGGGAAAGGGAGAAGGGGCCGGGCTGGGGGAGGCTTCTCTGAGCATTCCTACGTGCAGTTTTGACTTTTGAACTATGTCAATGTTCTATGTATTCAAAAAAGAAAATGATAAAAGAAGGAAAGCAACGAGATCCTTACATCCAATACAAACACCTGTGTGTACTGCACATTGTGAACCACGCAAACGCCAAGCCAGTGTTGAATATATCCGTAGGATACGCTCTTTAGAACAAAAAGAATTTAAAAGTCTCGACCTTCATGTCGGCGGTG